TGTCACACTTTTGTGTACTCTCCATGGTTTCCTTTTCCTTCTTCCTCTACTTCTCCCCTCCTCCCGTACCTTTCTTCATCTTCTTCTTCTCTACTCTTCACCAAACCTCTTTCCTACCTGCGACGACATGATGACCTGTGTGGTTTTGATAAATGCTGACTAACCGTCTTGCACTCGTTGTAACCGAGTTTACGTGTGCGGTTCACTCCAATTATGACGAATGTACACACGGTTAGTCACGGAGGTGAATTCGCACCTACCTGTGTACAAACCAAGCACGTCCGGATGACCGAGAGCAAACCTTGCAAGGACGACAGGGAGGCCACAAAGACACCTTTCTGAGAATCACTTGCGGCGTACAATCGACCCTAGACATGCAATCCACCAAAGGATTTCTAAAAATCAATTAATGCAAAACGAGGGCATGATAAAAAAGCATGACACACGACTACTCCCTCTTGCAATCCTTTGGAGAGATCTTTGACTTTCAGTAACTACTACCAAATATTAAATAGCATGTTCCTCTGAAAGGGGCTGACAGCCAATCTCTTAACTTATTTAGTTCAACCATCTTTATCCAAATGGATAAAAGCCGATCTTTAACGAAATGTGGACATACTCACACTACCTAGGACCTTTTTCTTCGCAGCTCTGGACGTGATTGTGTTCAGATGCATCCAGTTCCAGGCTTAATGGCAGTCAGATGCATTTAGAAGCGTGCTAGTGTGCGTATGCCCTGAGAGTGCAGAGTCACATCCACAGAATCAAAGCTGTGCAGCCTGTGCTTTTTGCATCAACAACAACTGGTAGTGGCAAGCCTACAACCATAGATAGCATCACTGTCGTTAAGCTCAGGGAATAAGAGGAATAGCAATGCCAACAAATCAGAGGGGAAAATACTCAAATTTGACACTCCCTTAGACGATGGTTCCATCACCATGACTGTTTATGATTCATCCTTTTTTTCCCCTGTAAAACATAAATCTTCTCCGTCCCTTTCTCTTCTTACCTCCTTCCCCTCTTCCACCCCGCCCCCTTTCTTTTTCGGTTTATGATACATCCTTAAGTTATGCTCCAGCTGGATACGAGTCATTCAGCTCAGCCCACGTGTTCGATTCCGGACGATCAACAACCACACCCACTACCTATAATCGGAGTTAGAGGCAAAAAAAAACAGTTTCGTCTTAACCATGGTTAACGGTCAACAACCACACCGACTACCTATAATCGGCGTTATCAAGGAAAAAAAGACAGCCAGTTTCATCTTAACCATCCGGATAATACTCCGGATGGTTAACCGCCGATTGGCACCCTGAAAAGCCTGGACACATTACCCGTTGCCCATTAGTCACTGCACAGAATAATACTCGCAACGGCATCTTCCGGGAGACAATAAATGGCTTGGACCTTCACATCCTCACATCTAAAACCATGGACCAACAGAGGACTGAACTTCGCTGGATCACTGGGATTTCTTGGACGACTTCTTACCACAATTACAGCCAGATTCGGTCAAACAAGGTTCGTATGACGGGAGTATGCACGCTGACAAATCTCTATACGGCCGACATCCTCATCCGCTAAAGATGCCAGAGACCCCTGAAGTCTGAGAGGCAGAGATCTCAGCAGTCGAGGAAACTCTTGCTGCTTGTAAACACATTGATGTCTCCTGACAAGAGACCTTCGGTGAGTCAAAACCACCATTGAATAAAAATATCTCACATCATCTATATTGCACACATTGGCAATAAAGGCTAATTCTTTAAGCCCAGCTCACAATTACAAAATTTAATGTGGAGTCTCGACTCTCAAGTTCCAAACACAAGACTCTTACACAAGTGAATATCACCAAGGGGTTTAACAAAATCACGGACAGCCAAAGCGACATGAAAACACACCAAAAGCACCCATCGCCTCCCAGTTGAGCTGAGAATGGTTGAATGAACAGTCGTCACAGATTTAACGCACATCACTGTGTCCTTTTTCGCATCCTGTTCGTCCTTTTCCATAGTAGAGAGGACTTTTCTCCGGCTCCGGCGCTTTTTAGCTTCCCAGTGTCAGCTTTCTCCACAGATGCGACCTTGGGGCCGAAACTGAAGCACGCCCCATTCACTCTTTTCATGAAGCCTGTTCAATCAATCGTACAGTCAGCCTTGCTGCATGCAAGCAAAAAAAGATACCTCTGTACATTTGGCAATAAGGTAGGTGATATCCCTTTATCTGCATTCTTTCCTGGCGCAGAATTTCCAGTCCTCGAAACAGAACAAGTCGTCAATGAAAGCACTTTTTCTGCTTTCATGCACATCTAGGACTCTCTGGGCTCTCTATGAAAGGCCTTCTATGTTGGCCTGTCTTAATTAACTGACACAAGAAAAACTGCTGCCCAAGATCCCCTCCTTTCCGCTTCCACGTATGCTGAAGAATTGGGATTTCGAAACAAAAAGCTCATTCACCAAAGGGTGAAAGGACCTTCTCCTCTCTATGAAACGCTCAATATCCCTTTCACTGACCTTCACAATATGGAAAGAAAGAAAAAAGGAAAAACTCTGGAGGCAAGAGTGTCCTGAGCCCTCGAGAAACATTATTACGTTTCGGACTTCAGGGCTCACCTCAGCACTCTCTTAACACCAATGTTTTGGCAAGGCGCTCCGCTGCACACAATTGCTAACCACGTTGTCCACCCAAATGCATCAGGTTCGCAAAGAGAATTGCTGCGCGAATACACCATATTTAGCAATTCTACCTCCTCCCCCTCCCCATGACAACTGTACAGGCATGGAGGGACCTCTCGTGGCCTCCTCGCCGCATTGGCCTCTGCCACCAGTCCTTTCCGACATGCTCTCTGGGCATTTGCCCAGCTCTTTCAGACCAGGCGGCATTGGTGAGAGTGTATGTGGCGGTGAGTCGGTGACACCCAATGCCCAGACTTCATAGTCCCCAGCCGTGTAGGACATTCTCTCAAAAAATTGTTGGCGTTTGGTGACCTGTCCGGTGAGGAGGCCCTACTTCGGCATCCGGCATCATGTTCCTCGATATCCACAAGCACAAATTCACTGCAGCTCCTTGACAATCCACAGAAAAAAAAAATCAGCGCTGAATGCAAGATGGGGATGATCGAGTAAGCAACATCACTGACCTGTATCGTCACCAACGATACACACGATCACAGAGTTCTACTTATCTCCCCATCTTCCACTTGCCGGCCAATTGCCTTCACAGCTGCTGGAGCCACACATGAAGTGCCAAAAACAAAAAGCTTGAACTCGAACCTAAGTTTTTGGGTTCTGCGGCAGGACACTGCTTGAGCGGCTGGCTCAACAGCTGATTAAATAAAGGTAGGTATGAGCTATGAATCTTTATGGCATGACAAGGTGCAATAACAGATTCGTGATCGAAGAGAGACGCAACCGACTGCCACAGCGTTGGCAATCCATTGCCTCTGTTGACCTTCGAGAGTAACATTTATCACCCCTAAGAGAGGGCGCACACTTTCTGGAATGTGAATGCCTTATCATCTCAATTGACATATTGATTCTACTTTGTAATGACTACCGGTGGCGCGCCTACGAAGACGACTTTGATTGCAGTTCTACCAAAGAGGCATAAACACTACCCGGACGAGAAATCAGCTGTTGATGAGTCCCTATCTCCGCAACAGTGCCCTGGTAAATGACTGCAATTTCATGAGCATTACGAATGGTGGAGAGTCTGTGGGCAATCACCACAGTAGTCCGACCTTCCATAAGTCGCTCTAGAGCAGCTTGAACAACGCCTTCAGACTCCGCGTCCAAGGCGCTAGTGGCCTCGTCAAGTAACAAAACGGTCGGGCTCTTCAGCACTGCACGGGCGATGGCTATTCGTTGCTTCTGCCCACCGGACATTTGCGTACCAGCCTCACCGACAGACGTGTTGTAACCATCAGGCAAGCTGCTGATGAAAGTGTGCGCATTTGCAGCCCGAGCGGCCTCTACCATCTCAGCCTCGGTGGCACCATCGCGTCCGTATAGAATGTTTTCTCGTATGGTTGTGTTGAACAGCACAGGTTCTTGACTTACCAAAGCCATCTGCTGTCGCAGCCATCGTAAGTTAAATTTCCGAATGTCCTTGTTATCAATCAGCACATGACCTGCAACAGGGTCATAGAAGCGTTCGATGAGTGCGATGACAGATGATTTTCCGCCACCACTGGGCCCAACTAGGGCCATGATTTGACCTGGCCTGACCTTCAAGTTCAAGTCTTTGAAAATGGGGACATCTGGCCGACAAGGGTAACGGAAATCGACTTTCCTCAGCTCGATGTTGCCCTGCAGCTTCACTAACTTAGTCCCCGATTCATCATCTGCGTCGATGGCAGTTCGCCTGTCTATGATGGCGAAGATTGAGCCAAGGACCGTGCTTCCCTTGGCAATATCAGGAGCTAGCGTGAATGATTCTGCCAGAGCGAAGGTGGTGACAATGAGGACCATAAATGTTTTGAAAACTTCGGCGAAAGAGTTTTTATTTTCGCGAACAAGAGTCATTGCATACCAGAAGTGGAGGGCCTCCGCCGATTGAGTCAGGAAGTTGCACAAGCCCAACCCTGTGCCGGCAATCTGGGACTTCTTAAAGCTGTCTCGTAAAGGCTTCGCTAATTCCCCTTCAAACAGTCCAAGCACCTTGCTCTCTGCGCCAAACGCCTGAACCGTGCGGATGTTCAACACCGCCTCTCCAGCTATTGCTCCAGCCTTCGCATATGCCTTGTTCAAGTCGCCACTAAAACCTTTCATTAATAACGTCTGCATCAACAATTGAGAGAGGGGCTGTCAGTTCGACTATAGTCCGCAGCAGTCACACAGATACTCTGACAAGTTGTGACAACAAAGAAGAATAAAGACTATTCAGAATCGGATCACGAATTGAACAGCAACATAAATGAGCAAATGAAAGACCACGATAGATGCTTAAACACGCCACGAACCGGAACCGGACCGGTCCTACCGGCCGGTCGACCAGGCCAGTTCCCCCCCGGTTGTTGCAGTGCATCAATTTTTTTTTTTTTTTTTGCCCATGGTGTTGTTGAGGCCAAGGACTAGACCCACAGTGATTGCTGGCAGCGGCAGCCGGTGGTTGTCCTGACAGGATAGGCCACCTTCCCTACCCTTCCCCACGTTAATGCTCCCAGCGCACCCCCTATCCCTACTATCCTACCTCAGTGTCAGGACCATCGCCCTACCAGTATTGAGGGCAGTCACCAGACAGCAGTGACAAGCACCCCCTAACACTATAACCCCCACCCTTCTTTTCAAAGTTTTTGGGTGGGAAGCACCGTCCCTACCCTGCCACTAACACCCCAGTGTGACCAGGCAACTTGGACGAAGCACCCCCTAACACTACAACCCCTACCCCCCTTTTCAAAGTTTTTGGGTGGGAAGTACCGTCCCTACCCTGCCACTAACACCCCCACCCCCCTCTTCAAAGTTCTTAGGCAGAACGTCAATGTTTGCAGAAAGCCAGGTATGTTGTTGTCAATGTCTGCTGAAGCCCGTGCTGAAACCCCACCACTAACACCCTCACCATAAACCCCCCAACCCCCGAACCTCAACCCCTGAAATACCCCCCTCCCCAACCCCCCAACCCCCCAAACGAAACTTCTCTGTTCAAAGTTTTCTTTGCGGATTCGGGGAGATCTCGGTGAGTGCAGTCCAACCAGGTTTTCAAAAATAAAAAATAAAAAAAAATTGACCCACTTTTGGACCCAACCGGAAATCCGGTTGGACCACCGGGGGCCCAACGGCCCGGTTGGATCCGGGCCGGTCCAACCGGCCGGTTGCCGGCACAGCCATGGCCACGATAGATGCTTAAGCGATTTTTTTCTTTTTTTTTAGTTAGAAATTTTGCGAAATTAAGGATTGGAAATTCAGAACGGAAAGTCTGGGAACTGAGAGTCTAGGTTTCGCTAAACATTGGAACAAACAATAGTGATTGGTTTCGCTAAACAAAGTTCAACAAACAATAGTGATAGAGTATTTAGGAAGAGCTTAAAATACCTCCTTTTTTGTTTTTGTTTTTGTTTTTGTTTTTGTTTTCGAAAGACGTTTAAAAGACGTTTAAACAACTTTATAAAAGGTTTACATTAATCTTTCTATGTTTCTCCCATCCTCTTTCTTCATTCCATCCTCCCTGCTTCCTTTCTCCCTAACCTTCCTCAGGTCATCACTTCCTCAATTCTTCCTTCCTTCCTCCCTCTCTTGTGCTATCCATTTGAACTTCTTAGTATTCTACTATTTTCGGTTTACCTAGATGACATGATGGGTCAATTATTTACTTTATTCGTATTAACTGTCGGATATGGTCGGTGTGTATTTTTCCGACCATCCTGATTTAGATCGCATATTTACAGATTATGGTTTTGAGGGTTATCCATTACGAAAAGACATTACCTTATGTGGAAGTACGATACGATGATTCAGAGAAACGTGTGATTTCTGAGCTACAAAAGGTTAACAATCTTTACATCAATGTTTACATGTTTCTCCCTTTTCTCGTCCTACATTCCTCCCTCCCTTCTTCCTTTCTCCCTTCCTCACTTTTCCCTTCCTTCCTGTCCTTCCTTGGTTCCGCTTTCACCCGTCTTCTTTTCTCCATCATCCCCTTCTCTCCCTCCCTTGGTTTCTCTCCCTCCCTCCCTCTCTCCCAGTTTCCCCCGCTCTCCCTCTCCTTTCCTCTTCCCTCTATTTCTTTCCCCCATTTTCCTTCCTTCCCTTTCTCCTCTCTCTCCCCCTCCCTCCCTTTCTCCTTCTCTCTCTCCCCCTCCCTCCCTTTCTCCCTCTCCCTCCCTCCCTCCCTCCCTCCCTCTCTTTCCCTCTCTCCCTTACTCGCGTATCTCTCCTCCCTGGCCTGCTCTCTTCCTCCCTCTGTCCTTCCCTCTTTACACAAATGTTTCCATGTTTCTCCCTTTTCTCTTCCTCCATTCCTCCCACGCTCCTTCCTATCTTTCCTTCCTCAGTTCCCCCTTCTCCCCCATCTTCCTTTATCAATCTCCTTCTCTCTCCCTCCCTCGGTTCCTCTCGCTCCTTTGCTTCCTCTCTCCCCTCTCTCCCCTCTCTCCCCTCTCTCCCCTCTCTCCCTCTCGATTGCTCTTCCCTCACTTTCTTTCCACGCTCCTTCCTATCTTTCCTTCCTCAGTTCCCCCTTCTCCCCCATNCTTTCTTTCCACGCTCCTTCCTATCTTTCCTTCCTCAGTTCCCCCTTCTCCCCCATCTTCCTTTATCGATCTCCTTCTCTCTCCCTCCCTCGGTTCCTGTCGCTCCTTCGCTTCCTCTCTCCCCTCTCTCCCTCTCGATTGCTCTTCCCTCACTTTCTTTCCCCCACTTTCCCTCCCTTTCTCCCTCTCTTTCTCTCCCATCTCCTTTTTTCTCTCCCTACCGCACTCTCTCCCTCTCCATCTCCCGCTTACTTGCTTCCTCTGTCCTCCCTAGCCCGTTTCTTCCTCCATCCTTCCCTCTCTCCCTCCTTCATTTTCCACGCTTCATCAGTTTCCTCCCTGTCTTACTTTCACTCCCTTTCTCTCTCCGTTTTTCAATCCCCTCCTCACTCACTCACTTTCCTGCCTTCCTCCTCCCCTACCCTCCGCATTCCTCCCTTCTACTGCTCCTTCCTTTGCTCTTTCCTTTTCTCTCTTCCACCCTTCCTATCACCACTCCTTCCTTCTTGCTGTCTTATCTCCTTAATTGTGTCCCTTCCTTTATGTCCTCATTCCCTACCTTGCTCTGTACCTCCATCCTTCCGTCCCTTCCTTGCTCCCTTCCTGTCCCCTCCCATCCTCCCTTCCTCTGTTCTTAAATTCCTCCCTCCCTTCCTCCCTCCGTCTCCCTTTCCCCCTCAATCTCCATCCCTTCTCATCCCTGCCTCCCTTCCTTCCTCACCCCCTCCGTCACATCCCCCCCCCCCACCCCCTCCCTCCTGAAATCGGGCCAACCCCTTAGACAGGAAAAAGAAACCTGTGCGTATTGGATAGCCGGTCAAACAGGCCAATGGAAATATGAGGTGTTCCTACCGGACTACGATGGCCAGAAAAGGTAGTGGTGGTGTAATCCCTGCCTCCCGACCCCCGCTTCCTCCCTTCCTTTGTCCTTCCAGCCCTCGTCCCCTTCCTTCTCCGCTCCTTTTCTCCATCCATCCATCCATCCATCCATCCCTTTACAATGATCCCCTACTCCCTCCTTTCCTCACTCCTCCTGTGCTTTGATTCCATCCATTTTCCCTGCATTCAATTGGAGTCCAGAATCCCAGTTAGTCAACGTATCTTTTGTACGAATGCAGCAGAGAGAATCCATACAGCATCACGCTGTCCACAGCGCAACAGTCAGTTTGGGGATGGGAAATACCTGGCAAAATGCTGATGATAGGTAGATTGGGAACACGGCTATTCCAACGAGGGCCATCCTCCAGGACAGGACGAGAGCAACGACCAATGCAACTGAAAGAGAGCCCACAGTCTGCAGCAAAACACTCAAGCGCTCCATGACAGACGACTTCACCACCGTGGCATCGGCTTCCAAACGGGACGCTAGCGCTGTACTCCTATTTTCATCTAAGTCGAACCAACCAATCTCTTGCTGCAGGATAGCTTTGAACGCCTTCTCCCTTACGCGCTTGACAAGTCGCTCACCAGCAACGCCGAATCCCCCAAAGCTGGCCAAGTAGACAAATATGCCACCGCCGGACATAGTGAGGGCATAGTAGCAGTACTTCAACACTCGTCCTCTCATGCCCGGTAAGACGAAGTACTCGCTAATCACTCCAGACAAGATCAAGGCAAAAAAGGGATTGAAAGTGCCCGTAACACAGGCACTAGCAGATCCAAGAAGAGCCCATGGCCATTCTGGAGAATTCATCTTCAGCAGTCGCCAAAAGGACGGTGCACTGGCTTTGGCTATTCTCAACGTTTTGGGATCCATGATGACAGAGTGCTCACCGGCTGACTGCATACTGAGGGAGAAACTTAGAGTGTGTCTGATCGATGGAAGGCTTGACCCATCAGCAATGGAGCCATCGCCATAGCCAAGATCCGATTTGCGCTGAGCAAGCCTTACCGCTCTGCTTTCTTCTTTGTTCTGCACATTCTGCTGCAGCCGAATAAGTGAGGCATAGGCTCCGTTCTCTCCAATTCGAAGCAGTTCGTCATGATTGCCGAGCTCGATGACATTTCCCTCCTGTATGACTGCAATCAGATCAGCATTGCGAATAGTCGAAAGGCGATGAGCCACGACGACGGTCGTCCTCCCACCTCCCATCAGCCCGTCAAGAGCTTCCTGGACAACACGCTCTGACTCAGCATCAAGTGCACTCGTGGCTTCATCCAACAGCAAGATGCTTGGGTTTCTCAGCACAGCTCTGGCTATGGCAATCCTCTGCTTCTGGCCGCCGGACATCTGCACCCCTTTCTCTCCCACGAGTGTATCATACTGCTGAGGAAAAGCCATGATGAATTCATGGGCGTTGGCTGCTCTAGCTGCAGCTTCTACCTCTTCCCTCGTGGCGTCTGGGTTTCCGTATAAGATGTTGTTCAAGATCGAGGTGGCAAACAGTGCAGGCTCCTGGCTGACCAGGCCTATCTGCCGACGTAGCCAGCTCAGTTGCAGAGTCTTGATGTCGTTCCCATCCAGGAGAACCGCTCCTGAGATCGGCTCGTAGAACCGTTCAATCAGCGCCACAACACTGGACTTCCCAGAGCCGCTAGCACCCACAAGAGCCACTGTCTTCCCTGCGGGGATCTCGAGCGAAAAGTCCTTGAAGATTTGAACGTCTGGACGTGACGGATAGGCAAAGGTGACATTACGAAGCTCAATGCTTCCGGTCACTGCCTTCAGGGTATGTCCCTTCTCCGAGGAAGCTATCAGGGGCTTTCTCTCTAGTACCTGGAATATGTTGTATCCTGCTGCCCGCCCGTTGGCAAAATTGCTCAAGTACGGCATAGCTTGACCAATAGCCCTGCACATACAGTATGCATGCATCAAGAAAAGAGGAGGACCTCTGTCAGGGGAGAAAAGGGAAACCTTGGATGAGCTTGAATGACATCAGCAGACTCAGGTTAAGCTTGGGAACGAACAGTAGAGGAACTCAGGATAACCAGATTACTCGCATAGAGTAGACGAACGACAGCATGTAGTCAACCATCACAGTCACATTCAATCAAGCAAGGCCCACTGTCAAAACGATACACACACATAAAATAATATACAAACATTTACAAATATTTAATATGATTGAAACATTCGAATTATTACAGCCAGAAGCTGACATGAGATGTGCAGGGTTCGCACAACAAATCTGTATGCTTGAGTTTGCAAACTTTGTATACTTGAATCTGTATGCTTGAGTTTGTATACTTGAATCTGTATGCTTGAGCTTTTTATATCTGACTTTGAGTTACAATTGAGTTTGTATATCTGACTTTGAAGGAAGATAGGAACCCTTCAACATCGAAATTCTTTACCAAATCATGAAAAAAAAATCCAACAAATCTGGAAAAATAACTATCTTACGCAGAAAAATAACCTGAACAACTTTTGCCTCAGGGTCACATCGAAATTCTTTACCAAATTTCAAATGAAATAAAATTGAAATTTCACTTTTTTTTGGTTCTGTTTTTGGCCTGGCCGGGCAAATGGTCCCAGGCCACTCTGGTAGCCTACGTATATAGTATATACTCCTAGGCTACCAGCCGGGCCGCCCGGGTCACCTGTTTTCCCGGGCGGCCCGGCCGTGCAATGACCAAAAAAGGTCCCAGCAAAAAAAAAAGAAAAAAAAAATCCAAAAAAACACTATGTTATGCAGAAAAATAAACTGAGCAACTTTTGCCCCAGGGTCACATCGAAATTCTTTACCAAATTTAAAAAAAAAAAAAAATCATTTTTTTATTATTAAAATTCTTTTTGGCCCGGCCGGGCAAGTGCGCCCCCACCACTCTGGTAGCCTAGATATACTCTCAAATTAGCCAAATTACCTAGACTACCAGACTGGCTCGGGACCACTTGCCCAGCCAGGCCAAAAATAAATATATAGTCCTTGGGGACATCCGTTAAAATTGGAACGATACAGAGAAGATTAGCATGGCCCCTGCGCAAGGATGACACGCATAAATCGAGAAATGGTCCAAATTAAAAAAAAAAAAAATTAAAAAAAAAAATATATATATATATCGTCACAAATATATATAAATAAATATATAAATATATCAATAAATATTAAATAATCTAATTTTATTTTTATTTTTTACTTCGTAAAAATTCCGATGTGACCCTGAGACAAAAGTAGTCCAGTTTCTTCTTTTCTTTTTAATATTAAAGGAAATATACGGGGGACAGTCGTAGTTTTGTCCCTACCTTATCTATATACCTCACCCATAAGCTCTATCTAGCTGGGAATGGATCAGAAAGCAGCTTAAATTCACTAGCCGCAGGTAAGCTATCCTAAGGTTATGGGTCTACACCTACCTCTCTCTGCTCTGTGCGGGGAGCAGTACCCAAGCTCCTAACACCTGGCGCCGGCTGGAAAGAACCAATCTCTTCCACAACCAGCCAGGAGATCCAAGCCAACAGTCTCCGCTGGCGAACCCAAAGCATACCCCCAGGAGGCCGCAGGGATTGAAAGGACGAAGTTGGGTATCGAACCCACGACCTCCTGAGTGCCATTTACATGCTCAACCAACTGAGCTAGCCCGCTTCGGCTCGAAGTTGTCCCGTTACATTTGTCTGCAGAACAGAATTTAAAATTTTCCGGATTTTTTAATTTCTTCCTTCTTTTTTTTGTTTTTGTTTTACAGGGACCTTCTCTGGCCCTTGCCCGGCCAGGCCGCCCGGGCAACCAAATTGACCCGGGCGGCCCAGTTGGTAGCGCAGCATATTACAAAGAAATAGCTCCAAAACGTCGGCGAGAAACCCGCTCTTGCCCAGATTAGCAAAAAGCTGAAAAAAAGGGAGTTAGGGTGAACAGTTCCTTGAAATATCGGTTCCGGATAAGTTGTACGCAAAAACTCACATTCCTCCGAAGAGCACATTGAACATCGTCGTCAAGGCCTTGCCAGGCGTCGCACGCTGCTTGGACACCAGTTCACTCGCGTACCAGAAGTTGAGGACCCAGGAACCCCCCATGATAATGTACGTGACACCCATTCCGAGGCCCTTCGTGATGCCACCACGGACACCAAGGCGAAGAGTCTCTTCCAGTGCCTTGGAGTAAGACCTGATGGCCTTGTCTTCGCCGGCGAAAGAGTACACAGTGCGGACGGACGAGATCGACTGCACTGCGATCTGCCCAGCACCAGCATATGCCTGCTGGCTTTTGGAGGTCAACCCTTGTAGGAGATAAGCGTACGTGCCGCCCGCTACGGCCAGCAGAGGCACCACAGCAAGGATGACCAGGGCAAGTCTCCAGACTTGAGTGAAACCTATGGCAAAGCCTGTCACAAACGTCGCCATGAAGTGCAGAAAGAGTCCAGCCTGCTCCAGCCAAGTAACAACCACCAGCCACATGCAGGAAAAAGAGAATAAATAAAACACATAATTTGACATAAAGTTTAGTCATAACCTTTACGAAGAGAGTGCAAAAAAAAAATAAAAAAAAATCCAGAAGGGCAGAGACAAAAGGCCAACAAGAAACTTAAAATCACCAAAGTAATCAGAGAAAAGTTGAAAAACACAGATGAAAAAGGGAGACATATTTCGCATCACGCTAATCGAAGGCGTACTAGGATTTATAATTTGATATATTACACGCCTTTGCATATCTTGGTACGTCGCTCAGGGCTTATTCACACACTGACTTCTTCGAGTGAGCTCTGAACATAATTCTGGTCAGATACATCTGCATAGCACCCTAATTGCATCCAGGTACACTTAAAAAAAGTTTCTATTGCGAGTATACCCTGCGAGATAAAATGAACGGACAGCATTTTTGCCGCATGCGAGCACCCCATCAATTCAAAAAAACAGTTCTAAGATCAATTCGTGGACAATCGAGCTAAAAGGCAAGTGGGCTAGTGGTTAACGGGGACCCCCACTTTCGGCAATCGGAAGCAGAATGCCAGGGGAAGAGGTGCAGATTTTTCCAAATAAGTTGAAAATATTCAAAATAACTAATTAAACCCACAAAATTGATTAATCACACAAGATAAACTACCAATCTAAAAAGTACAATGCCAGGGCAACAAGAGCAGACACAACAGTGGAAATAGCAGACCAGAGACATGGGGCCTAGGTCCACTACACCACATCCAGAATGCACCTGGATCTGAAGTTGGTCTGGATACTTTCACAAACGTTTGGTCAATCAGAATGTAGCTCGATCACGGATGTTCAGAAAACAAAATGCAAGGCGCCATGTGCCATCCATGTCATTTTCTGCATCTGATATTTTCTCCATGTTCAGTTTTTATTCAACTTTTTAACTTCCTTCTTTTTTTTTTTCTTTTTTTTTTTAACACGAGACAGCGGCACTTTATATATTCTGTGTTTCCCTCTGTTGATCAAAGTGTTTCACAATATGGTAGACAAAAATGACCGCCCAGTAAGTCGCTGTGGTCATACCGTACTAGCTGGGTGAACGCACTGAGAAGTAGTAGTCCAGATTCATTCATCGATCTTTTCATATGTCCATGACGCAATCCTTGTAAAAGGGAGAATAACCCCGACTCGCTCTGAGTTATGTCTTCTACAGATTGCCACTCGGTCAAAAGTTGTCCAGATTCATTCCCCCCTATCCAATATGCCCATGACACAATCCCCGTAAGGGGCACTAATGTTAGAAATTTACCAAGTAGATTTGAGTGCCTACTATAGTCGTCTAGATTCATTCCCCCCACTTGCTCCGTGTTATGTCGTGTACACTGCAAAGTTGTCCAGATTCATTTACCCCTCTTTTAATATGTCCACAACATAATGCCATGATAATGCTTGTAAGGGGAAATAATGTTGAGGATTTACCAAGCAGTTTCGTGTCCCACCTGGGCCCAACTAATCTGTGCTACCGTCTTCACCCGAATAGAATGCCTGGTCATTATATCCATATTTGGAGCAACTTTCAGTCCAGATATGCCTTCCAATTTTCCAAACGAATTGATTGGCAGGTGGGCATTACAACAGTAACAGGCGCTCTGGTCTCTGGCAGGAGACTAAGGGCCTCGCTCCACTACACAACACGGTACATGCATTGGGACACCTTCTTGACCGGATGCATTCACAACGTTGGAATCGTCTGAATGCACCTGGTCCCAAAAGCATCCAAATGCATGTTACAGTGTTCGTGTAATTTTCCAAACGGATTGATTGGCAGGTGGGCATTACAACAGTACCAGGGGCTCTGGTCTCTGGCCGGAGACTAAGGGCCTCGCTCCACTACACAACACGGTACATGCATTGGGACACTCTCTTGACCGGATGCATTCACAACGTTGGAATCGTCCAAATGCACCTGGTCCCAAAAGCATCCAAATGCATGTTACAATGTTGTGTACTGGAGCGAGGCCCTAAGTCGCAGAAGAGCCTTGCAAACATATGAATGAATGGATGTTTGAGAATTACTTCGGGTAAGAACGCCGTCATACTCAGGACATTTTCCGGCCAGTGGATGCACCTGACCACAATTGCAGCTGCTTCTGGATGTAGCTGACTGCAATTATGTCCAGAGATCCGTTGAAAAGTCCTAGCAGTGCAAGAAAGTCTATGGCTTAATTCATGCCTTCCATACATATTATAAACTCACCTTTTCGCCTATTGCATCTTGCACAAGAATAGTGTCGCTAGAAATCCGGCTCAGAGTTTGCCCTGTGCTGCCCTCTGTATCAAAATAGCCAATATCTTGCTTAAGCACAGCTTCCAGATATGCTTTCTTTAGTCGCGCGGACTGTCTATCAGAAGTCTGCATCCAGAAGCCGGTTTCTGCACAAGCCCGCAAAACAGAAAAAAGGAAGTTAAAACCCATGTTTTTCAAAGAAAAAGAGAAGAGAAACAGAAACAAGGAAGTTAAAACTTGTGTTTTTCGAAGAAAAAAAGAAGTACAGGAAAAACAAAGAAACTCAGAAAGGCCAATTATTTGCTTAGACACAGTTTTCAGGTATGCCTTCCTTTCAATTAGGAGGTGCATACTCACGCTACTAAGAAATTGGACTGTCTATCAGAAGTCTGCATCCAGAAGCCGGTTTCTGCACAAGCCCGCAAAACAGAAAAAAGGAAGTTAAAACCCATGTTTTTCGAAGAAAAAGAGAAGAGAAACAGAAACAAGGAAGTTAAAACTTGTGTTTTTCGAAGAAAAAAAGTACAGGAAAAACAAAGAAACTCAGAAAGGCCAATTATTTGCTTAGACACAGTTTTCAGGTATGCCTTCCTTTCAATTAGGAGGTGCATACTCACGCTACTAAGAAATTCTTAGACGAATTTGAACGATATTACAGCCAGATTCAGTTCCAATAGTCCCATGGTTAGTAAGAAAAAATGCCTTCTTTCCTGCATCGTATTTGAACGATATTACAGCCAGCGTCAGTTCCAATAGTCCGATTGTTAGTAAAAAAAAATGCCTTCTTTCTTGCAGATACTCACAGTACCATCTTTCCCCGAGCTTTAACGCACCCTGATTCTGAATGTATACAAGCCCTTTTTCCAGTTGGATGCAGTCAATAATGACGCTGCGCTGTGTTCTGGGCAAGATGGTAGGACATTTTTGGATCTATTTGACCGCACTTACAGCCAGATACAGTCCCAGTCCCAATAGCCCCTTCCCAGATTTTCCCAAACACAACGCCTGGTCATTGCATCTTTATTATTAGGCTTCAAAATTGCACCACGTACATGTAGGACATGACGTGCTGTTGCATTCGTCGGAATGGGGTAGTGGGGGGTACAGCCTGAGTTTGGCCCCTCCTCCCTCAGACAGATGTCTGCATCAAGAACCCAGTTCCTGACCAAGCATAAGAAACAAGAGGGTCAATAATCGATATGCAGGTTTGGTGTCCCACGCGATTTTTTTTTTCTTTTTCGTGTGCCCCCACATCTGGCGAAAATCACATAGAAAAAGGGTAAATAGCACACACACGCACACAAAGTGGTTTGGTCCACAGATCAAGAGCTCAAGTCCTGTAATAAGGGCAGATTTGTTGTACCACCTCTATCTTGCACATCTAGATCCCAGACTCCCAGTCATACACGTCCAGAGGAATCGAAAAATTGAAGTAGCGAGGCCGATCGCTATGCGTCCACGTTCAAAGGACGAGCAAAACAGCACCTGCACGGACATAACAACCTCAATGCACACATTCCCCGATGCGCATTTCGCCTGACTGCGCACCAGGACTTGTCAATGGGGATCGCTATGCGTCCACGTTCAAAGGACGAGCAAAACAGCAACTACACGGACATGACAAGCTCAATGCACACATTCCCCAATGCGCATTTCGCCTGACTGCGCACCAGGACTTATCAATGGGCTTCCTCTCTCCCGCATCCACCGTAGATGCTGTATTTTTTTTGTTTCCTTTTCATGTAGCAAAGGATCATTCCACCATGCAAATACATGTCTCCCTTAGAAAAAAAAAGGAAAAAAAAAAAAATCACAGGAATGATCCTTTGCTACATAAAAAAAGAAGAAAACAAAAAGAAGAAAGACGAAGAGGAGAAGGAAGAAGACAAAGAAGAGGCAGAGCAAGACGAAGAAGACAAGGAGGAAGAAGAAGAGGAGGGGGAATAAGAATTTCAATTTGAAAAGCAAGGTCAATCGCCACGTGCCCATGCATCACCAGATATAAGCAGGCCACAGGAAACGACGTACAGGTATTAGGCAATTATGTTGACATACCAAAGTATGACGCGACGAACATGACGAGGCCAAGGTAGATGAAGTAGAAGACATACTGCGCACAGCCAAATAACGCAATCATCAGAAAACGACAAACATCCCTACACAAGAAAATGACAAGCATCCCGACACAAGAAAATGACAAACAATCCCAACATGGGAAACGGACATCCCGCATCATACACAAGGCAATAACAGGTACTATAATACCTATTTTTATCTGTTTACTACTTGTTTTAGTTGATATACATTACAGAAGTGCACAGCAAGCGCACAGCAATCACAGCTCGAATTTTACAACGATAAGGACGATTGGTTCCGTTGCTAACTAAATATACACCAAATTCTCCTTTGGGTGCTGTGGCGATCCAACTAAATATCTTGATTCCAGTTGGCACCGCTATAATCATGTAGCTGCTGCGGTGAAATAAGCTCGGGTCAATTCAACCCTGCAAAAAAATAAGATTGTTTGTCATGTTGGATCATAAAAACTAAAAAGAAACACACGTAACATATTTGCGAGAGAGAGAGAGAGAGAGAGAGCAATCACGACAAGCAGGGGGGTTGCGGGGGGAGGGTAGTAGACACTTGCTACCCCAAAACCCTGGGACGCATGGCAAGAGCCGGGTCCCCAACCAAAGGCATCGTTTCAGTCTCTATATAGATAGGCTGAAGGTGCCAGTTAACTAAATGATGTTACTACTTCGCGCTCCTGTCCTTATCTGAAAAGAAAAGAGACAGGTGAAGAAATCTTGTGGCACCCACCACGCACACACGTGTGCACAGACACACAAACACAGAGACAGGTGAAGAAAAAGAAAGAAAAGAAAAGAGAAAAGGCCCCAAGCTCAGCGATCTCATTCTTTGGCTGGATTCGATAGATCAGAGCCATGCGCGGCGGCTGGACCCAAAAAAAAAAAAAAAAAGGAAAATAACTGAATAAACATTGATCCAGGGAATCGATTGACTGATTGCCATCGTGGTGTATTACAACTGCTCGCCTATTTTCAGGGCATACTCACAGTGGAGCCTCCTGCATGCATCTGCCCGAGCCAAAGTGTGAGCACACCCTCTTTTGCTGAGACCCTCTTTTCCCACCTTTTTTCGTCACCTCCGACTTTATCTTCGTTTGCCTTAGTTTCCCTTCTTCCCCCTTTTTCCCGCCCTTCCCGCCCTTTTTTCCCGCCTTTTTCCCGCCCTTTTTTCCCGCCCTTTTTCCCCGCCCTTTTTTCCCGCCCTTTTTTTTCCGCCCTTTTTTTTCCGCCCTTTTTTTCCTGCCCTTTTTCCCCACCCTTTTTTCCTGCCCTTTTTCCCACCCTTTTTCCCGTCCTTTTCCCCGCCCTTTTCCCCGCCCTTTTCCCCGCCCTTCTTTTTTCCCGCCTTTCCACCCTTTGGGCCTCGTTCCACACCACTCCACTTTAGAAATACTTGAGAAATTCTTCGTTCCACACTGCACTGCACTTGACTTTCACCTTCCCTAATCGCGATTAGGCTTCCCGCCTCTCCCGGTGCCCACCAAAAACGTCAAGTGCAGCTCAAGTGCGCCAGGCGTTTTCAAGTCACCTCTCCGACCACACGCACTTCAAAACGGCGCAAGTGAGAGTGGGGAGGTGGTTGTAGGCGCTGCACGTTCCCCGTTTTCTCTTTTTTTGTTTTACATCCCCACTTCCCTCACGCCAACCGCCTCTGCCACTTTCCAGCTCCTGTTTCGAGTGTGGAGTGGAGTGTAACGTCGAACTGTGCCAGGCTCAAGTGTTTTTTAATGATGGTTTCCAGCCTCGTTCTCCCCCCTTTCCCTCCTTTTCTGCATTTTCTTCCCACCCCCTCCGCCCTCTTCCGCCAAGGCAACCTCCCGTCCTTTGGATTTGCCGTACTACGCCCTTTTCTGCGTTTTCTTCCCCCAGTACAAATACACAGATTTGTCACCATCCTTCTGCTGAAGTCTTTCTGAACTTGCGCACTTCGCCGACGGAAAGGAAAACACACAAGGATGGTGACCAACTGTTTCGTCGGACTTGCACCGACTCATCAGGCGGCTGAACCCTCGAAAAGATCTGCGGAATCCACCCATCCCTTTTGGCCCCTCACGACGGGACAAGACCAACCAGGATGTCAAAACATTCTTGTCTGCAAAGAAATCAAAAGAAGTCCCAGATACATATCTATACACAGCAGAGTTGGTATTCCTATTCGGCGTCATCGTAAGCAATTCGTACCGGGACATCATAAAAAACAATCCTAGATGATGATTCCCACATAAAAGCACCGCCCCCATGATATATATATATTGTCACATTGTGAATCAGAGCGCACAAAAGGGGAAAGAAAAAAGGAAAAGGAAAAAAGGGGAAGGGGAAGAGGTAAGGAAAGCTCCACCTGTTCATAACCTCTTACGTACAAGGCCAGCCACGTGGATGACAGGTTGAGCGCTGGCTGCCCCCATCCCCGTGTGTCACAAGGACCCACTTGCACGCAGCCAAAAGGCAAAGAGGTAAAGAAAGGGAGRAGGAAACCAAACCTGACAGGGAAAGAAAGATAGGGAAAGAAAGATAATCCAATTATCACAAAGCAAATAACACATCCTACAGATCAACGTATCTTTTTTCTTTTTTTCTTTTTCTCTTTTTTCTTTTTTTCTTTTTTTCTCTTTTTCTTTTCTTTTTTTCTTTACCTGCCCCCACATCGGCAGATAGGACAGCTACGGTGAGGATGATGTGGATGTTCACAAGGATGCCCAAGGAGAGCTGCGCCAGCACAGCATTCTGCAAGACGGCTAGCACGAACCATCCCATCAAACCAGTCCTGACAGAGGACGTGTTGTCCACATGTCAAAAACACGGCAGGACGTTCATCACAGTGCGGCATCATACAGTTCTGATAGCGTCCTTGGGCACAATAGGGACAACGTATATCTGGGTGATAGGGATGTGTACAATGAGGAAATGTTGGACACCCTTCAGGATAGACGGCGGCAGTCGCAATAGATTGATAATGGCTATGGCATAGATGATGCATTCCACAGCCAAGGCGCACCGCGTMTCTGTCCCGACAGGYGTCACACGAGAGTCGGTCAATAATCCAGAATAAAGTATGATTCGACAACGCTCGCAAAAATTCATTCACGTCGAAAACGACCTGACTCATCGTCCCACCATCCCACAGTTCCCACTGGGCAGCTGCACGAATAAGTGCCATATAATGCCCGGGCCTGTGTAAAATACAGGCAAAAATATGAGGATGGTTATTGAGGTCATCGCCTGGCGTCGCATGATGCATAAGAAGGTGGCGACCGTGAAACGCTAACAGTAAGACATTTACAGTAAAGCCTCCTGAGGTAGTATAGTTACTACCTTCTGCAGGTGGACTATTATGGTCAAGCAAAGAGCTATATATCGTCACAAACAGAACTGCCCGGTAAACCGTAGGCAGAGAGAGAGAAGAGGACAACAAACGAGGGGCTGTGACAAACTGTTTCGTCGGAGTTTCACCGACTCATCAGGAGGCTGAACCCTCAACAGTCTGCAGAATCCCCTCACTGATTACACTGTAAATGATAATCTACCTTAACCAAAATCAAAGTAGACTATCACTCACCCACACCAGATGGAAAACTCTACAGACTGTCGGTTCACACCCCATCACAAGCCAGCTATATGAATTCGGAATCTACAATGCCATTACTGTAGCTGATCTCCTGTTATATCAAAAAAAAAAAAAAAAAAAAAAAAAGGCAAAACATGCTGTTTCATGTCTTTTTTATTTCCGATGAGTGAATGGTCAAGCACATGTGGAGCTCCCCACAAACGCATCAAAAAATTGATTTTTTAATTTTTTATCAAAGAAAATTCGAAAATTACCCGCACAAATGCATCCACGCAATGTAGATTCGAATACTATACCTTGACAGAAAGTTTAAGGGGAGGGGGAGGAGGGGGGGGAGGGAAAGAGGATCTGAACTAGCAGACTAGAGAATCTGAACAAAAAAGCTGCTACCCTCTTCCCCCGAACATAATGCACCCTGATAATGAATGTACGCAAGCCATCTTTATGGTCCGATACAGCCATAATGCGGGTTCGTTGCGTTCGGCGGAAGACGGTAGTCATACTCAAAGCTGTTTTTTGTCCCGGGGGCAGAAACCAAACGACAAAAAAAACACAGCAGTCCGTTGTGACGCGTCGATTGCGCATCTCCCTTAAGATCGGCATGTACGCTCTTTAGACAGCGAGGACCAAAAGCACAAGAGAGAAAAACTACGGCCGTATACGTATATATTTCCATGTCCTAGCCCAAGATTCATTTCTCATTTCGCACATATGGTGAGTGGTAGGGCGAGCCCCAGAACCACATTCTGCGTCCATGATTTTTTAATTTTTTTTAATTTTTTTTTAACTGAGCTAGATTCTTCTCTCAATTTCACCTTCCACTCCCTACCGACTACTCCTAATCATCATATAGTATTACGGGGAAACTGAAAGATCTACCGTCTTCACCCGAATAGAAAGCCCGGTCATTATAGCTGCATTTGGCCCAACTTTCCGTCCAGATGCGGCGATAATGACCGGGCGTTCTATTCGGGTGAAGACGGTAGTACTTGGTGGGACTGCGAAATATCGTGGCAGGAAATGGCGGCCAAGCATCACGCCTCAGATTACACTATTTCATTCTGTTCATCTGATTGCATCTGGATTCGAGCTAACGTCTCCCTATTTTCAGACGACATCACCTCCCTCTACCTTTTCTGTATCAACTTATCTGTCTCCCTACCAATCGCTTAATTAATCCTCCTTCGTTGTCAATACCCATTCCTCTCTCTCTCTCTCTCTCTCTCTCTCTCTCTCTCTCTCTCTCTCTCTCTCTCTCTGTGTGTGTGTCGCTCGTGTTTTTGTCCGTCTGTCCGTCTCTAGGGGCCTCGCCACACTACTCACAAAACCAAAAAAATGCGAGCGCATCGTCTCTCTCTCTCTCTCTCTCTCTCTCTCTCTCTCTCTCTCTCTCTCTCTCTCTCTCTCTCTCTC